TTATATGAAAGTTGAACAATATTGTATAAAAATTATATTTTATTGTTTATATATATATTTTTATTTAAATATTATATGAAAGTTGAACAATATTGTATAAAAATTGTATTTAAGTTGTATGATATTGTAGTTGTATATAACTTGGTAGAAATAACATATGAAAGTTGTAGATAAGTTGTATAATATTTAACTAGTTGTATGAAATTTGTTTTTACTATGTATAAATTAGATACAAAATATACAAAAGACATATTGTATAAAAATTATATTTTAGTTGTATGATATTGTAGTTATATTTAACTGTGCAAAAATAATGTATGAAAGTTATAGATAAGTTGTGCTTTTACATTGTGCTTTTAAGCTCTTTGCCTAAACGTGTTAAAAATGTTTAAAACATTACTGAGTTTCATGAAATACCTTGCAACTTAATTCAGATCAACTTCTCATAAAAGGTAAACTTACCTATCTTCAGCATTACATGCCAGAAGGATTCCATCTTATTTTGCAGGAAAAAATATAACCATTGTTGAGTATGATTTGTAGAATAATGCCCTCCAGATATATTCTATCCAACTAGGGCTGTCCTATAAATTATTACTCCTACCTAAAGAAAGTGAAAAACATAGGATATAATTTTTTGGAAATGGGTGCCCTTCTGATTTTGTATTTTGAATAGTAACTTCAACAAGTTCTTAATTGGATAATAATTAAATAGACTTGATGGACAGGGAATAGAGTCTGATTCCCTTTTAAGGATTTAAATTAGAATTTTGGTTTTATCTTGAATCCTGATAAAAAGAACTTGTAAAAAGTTATCCCCAGATATTAACCTAATCTTCCTGTTAATTATAGAGGAATTCTTACTAAATTCCAACGTAAAGCTGAAGGGTTAAAAAGAAGAAGAAGAAAAAGGATCAGAAGAAATAACACAAAATTATAAGTACTATTAAGACATGGTTACGTGATCAACCAGATGAAAGAGTTGTCCACTGACTTGATCACTAAATTGTTACAAGGGTGGAAGATTTGGAGAGAAAAGGGGAAAGAGGAGAGAAAAAAAGGAAAAAGGTATAACTAAATCTCTTGATTGAAGACACTAATAATGGATTGGGAGCCTTTTAAGGTGGAATGTATATATTTTGTAAACAAAACTTATTTACAGAGGCGGACCTACATGGTCATTAGAGGGGTCACCGGAACCCGTTAGCTTCGGCAAAAATAGTATATATATATATAGATTTTATGTGTACTGTATATCTAGATAGGACCCCTTAAATAATTTACTTGGGCCCTCTAAAAAACAAAAGCTGGAAGGCAGCAGTGGTTGAGCTGTTTGTTTAAGCATCCTTCTAACTTTCCTTACCATTTGGTCTAGTGTTCGAGACCTAATTCAAGCAAAATTAGCATTTTTTTCTTTCTTCTTTTGTTTTCTTTTACATTTTTGGATTCCATGATAGTTTCTGTCCTTTTAACCTTGCAGTTTTCGAAACCCTGGCCTCTTACTTCAAAATTGAAGGCTTCATTACAGACCTAGTAAATCAGTTTTGTCAAAATATTTTATAACAAAACACTGATAAAAATGTTTATTTTTGCATATTACTTACTTTTATATATATATATATATATATATATAATAAGAAAAATTAAAGAAGCAGTGCCGAGCGACACCGCTTCTATCAACATTGCTTCCTATAGCACCTATTTTGCAAAGTAATCTTTCACTCTTTGCTTAGTGCTTTTTCTTTCTTTAAAAATTTCGGATTGTTTATATATTGCGGATAAGTTGTCATACTTATTAGTTTCTTAAAGAACTGCACACAAAATTTTATCGTTAATTATTGGCATATTAAAGGTTGGTGGTGCCTCCGTCGCGCTCAAATCCTGGGTCCGCCTCTGCTTATTTAGGTCGAGTAATTAACTAAACGTGGACATTTTTGGTAATAAAGTTTCATATAATATATAGGAAGGTAAAAATCCCTAAAATGGGTCATGACATTAACATCGCATTTGCCACACACGAAGAAATAGTATCTTCGATCTCCCTTACACATCTCACTTGCATTCTATAATTTACTTAGAAAAATTTATGGATCTATATATTTTGAACTTAAGCAAAAGTTACTTTGCTCAAGGTTACATCGCATCAAAATACAAAATACGAAACAACAGAAATTAAAAGAGAGGACTAAGAATTCAAGCATTTTATGTAGCTATCAAATCAGAAATGTCAGCTATGTAACAAGTAAGAATTCTTAAAGTTATACTAACCCTCTTACCAATGCCAGTTCCTTAAAATAACATTATGATATCTAACTTTCCTTCAAGAAATTTATATGCACTGTTGTTGGTGGTCGAAGCTGGAGCAACTTCCTAGCTATATCCAATGCTTCTTCAGCTTCAAGTTCTAAGTGCTCCATGATGCTCATTGTCACAAGTGATGGCGAACTAAAGAGAAGGAACCGAATAAACTCAATCTCAGGATCGAAACCTGTGACTTTCGTTAACTTGACCAGATGAAGTTTGCTAAGGGGAAAAGTTGTGCAGTCCATGAGTTTTAGATAACCTGAGACTTGCTCTTCTTTAGTGTCACTGTAGAAGCCTACATGAATATAGAGCAAAAAAACCAAATAAGTGCTTAGTCGTTTCGATAACAAAAAGGGGCAGTCTAGTGTACTAAACTCCCGCTATGCGCGGGGTCCGGGAAAGGGCCGGACCACAAGGGTCTATTGTACGCAGCCTTACCCTGTATTTCTGCAAGAGTCTGTTTCCACAGCTCGAAGGTAATATGACAGCAACTTTACCAGTTACGCTATAACAAATTATCATAAATTAGATGGAGTGTTACAACTTACCTCAATATAAAGTTCTTGCAAATTCGGAGCACTTCTAATCAAACAGATAACAGCAGATATCTGATCAAAGTCCATAAAGTTTACAGCTTTGAGTTCGATAAGCTTTAGAGAGTCTAGCGACGTTGATAGCATTTGCAGAACTTGAGTTTCAGCTAGGAACTGAAAGAACGATATGTGAAGACACATTTCAATCAGATTAGGAATGATTGTGAAGGTAAAGATAAACTTGATTTTAGCAGTTGTTTGCAAGGTGAACCCCGAAAAAAACTAATTTTTCAAGATATAAGAAGCCCTTGAACTCTGGTGGAGGCAAGAAATCAAAATTACGGAGCTTCAAATACGTCAAGTCCAGATAAGAAAAGAAATAAGGAGGTAACTTATGACGTACAAAATTCTTCTTGTATTCTAAGGTTAATTTCTTGATATTCTTCGTAGATAAATATAGCATCCATTAGGATACCCAAGTGTACTGAACTTAGGAATGCATACTTTAAATCTTTCTATTCGGCCAGGATGAAGCATAAGAAAATTGGTGACAATTTCGTTCAATTGATAGTTGAAAAATATCCGAGTTTTCTTCTTCTTGGCGAAGTCAACAAGTTCTTTGCAGAATTGGTCATCAAACACTAATTGCGGAATGGTTAAGTAGTTTAATCTCCACTTCTTTGAAAGAACACTCGTTCTTATAGCATCACGTATAGGCATTTTTCCAAGAATGCAATCTATTACATTCCTTGGCAAGTCACTGATTATATCCTCATCATCAATTGATTCTTGACGTTTGTGTGGTTGATTTCTTTTGATACGTTTTGGAGGCATATTTTCCTAAGAATGAAAATCAAACACATCAATGCAATCAATTCCACTTTTTCCTTTGGAGTAAAAAAAATACAATACATCCCATTGAAACACCATGATCAACATAATCACTACATTCGTTCTCACGCTCTTACTGTCTCAAATAGGAAAAACAAATCAACATACAACAATAACAATAACTATGTCTCAGTCTCAAACATGTTGGGCATGACGATATGAATCCCCATTCCTCTCATTTAGCTCAATTCATCATAGTCATTTCCAAAATAATATAAAAGTACGAGTAATAAAAAAATCAGGTATTCAGAAACAAAGTAGCAAGATATCTATTCATCCTAAAACAATCAAATATAATGAAAAGCCCAATGACCCTCTGAAGTAAATATAAAGCATGGTTTTAATTCCTATAGTATTGCTTAAGCTATATTGAACAGAAAATTTCGGGGGGGACTGTGTTGTAAATTCGGAGAAACTAAATTTTAATGTCGGATATTCTCATCAAAATCAAAAGACACCAACACAGAAACAGAAGGCAGAAAAGTCAAGAAATCAAACGTCTCTATTCCGATATTTTTTGGTTGTTACAAGAAAGTGCTATTATGGAAAATATATATTATAACATAAAAATTAGTTTCATAGAAAACTTAAGTGCTGTTATAGATTATATATGTTAGACAGATATATAAAAAGAAGTCTTAAGTGCATAGCAGAATAGAAAAAAGAAGAAGCAAAAAACCTGGAATTAACCATAAAAACTGATTACAAACTATTGAAAAAACTTACAATTTGATTCCCGTTAGTGAATAAGGAACTTGATGAAGAAGTAAGAAGCGGCAGAGAAATTATGAAGTTGAAGGCGGTCAATTTTATATGTAATTTATCCGACAAATAATTTTTGGGCTTGGATCAATGTTCTTCTCCCACTCAAATTGGGGCAAAATTGGCAAATTGCTTATTTAAACTGGACAAACTAACCCAAATAACAGTCCACCTAATACGTTAAACTAAAAAGTCCTAATACCTAAAATACACGGAGTACCTTATTTTTTCAAAATAAAACCGCCTTGTCTCATGATCTTTAAAACCTAGAATTTCCGTCACCTCTTCAATCTCACAATATTTTGCAGATTTGCCTTGCCATTTATTTGGGGTAAGAAAATTCTCTCTTCTTTTGCATATTGTTGTATAAAGCTACAATGAGTATTTGCTGATTGAATTCATGATAAAAATTCTAAGAGTCATCCTTTAATTTGTGTTGGAAATTATATATTGTATTTAATTCTTTTTGTTAATTTTTTTTCTCAAAAGCCCCAAAAAAGTTAGGAAGATATGTCTCCAACATGTATTAAAAGAGGCAGAAGCCGAGAAGATATAATCAGCAACTTGCCAACTGATGTAATATACTGCATTCTAGGGAAAATGCCTATACGTGATGCTATAAGAACGAGTGTTCTATCAAAGAAGTGGAGATTTTGTCACTTATACATTCCGGAGTTAGTTTTTGATGAAGAATTCTGCAAAGAACTAAAAAGCATTGCAAGAAAGAAATCATGTGTATATCAATTTGATGAATACCGTGAATATATGTATCAATTTGATAAAATTGTCACCAAGTCTCTTATGCTTCATCTTGATCGAATAGAGAGATTTAAAGTTTGTATTCCTGATTTCAAGTCAGGTTGGAGGGTTCTTGATGTGAACAAATGGATATTATACTTGTTTTCGAAGAACATCAAGAAACTAACCTTAAAGCACAAGAGCGGACATATTGAACATCTTAGGTTACCTCCTTATTTCTTTTCTTGTCTGGACTTGACGTACTTGAAGCTCCAAAATTTTGTCCTTTCTCCACCACCGGAGTTTAAAGGCTTCCCTAATCTCGAACAACTGATACTTATTGAGGTTGATCTTCCAAACATCTGTTTTGAAAGTATTCTTTTCGGCTGTCCTGTTCTTGAAAGGCTAGACTTGCACTGGTGCTCTGGTATTCATCATTTTAATATCAGCGGTTCTAATCTCAAGACGTTGCGTGTTAAGGATGATGATGAGTTTGAATCTATCTGCTTAGTAGACGCTCCAAACTTGACTGAAGTTTCAGTTAGTCTAAGAGGGGAATTTCTGAAAGGCAATCCTATCTCTGATTTGATTATGTTTATGGAAAGGTTATCTAAAGTCAGAATACTTCATCTTAATGGCAAGTTTCTGCAGGTTAGTGCTACTGAAATTACATATAGACGTCTCTATTATATATCGCGTTGCTAAAATAAAGTTAAAGAATGTTAAACCCGAAGAGTTAAAGGTAACTTGTATTAATTAAGATTGATGAAGCCAAAGAGTTCTAGGCCCATGTTTATATGGCAATTTATAAAAAAAACAGTTCCATGTTGTTAGGATCGGGAACCCGGGTAGTGCGAAATTTAGCCAAACAACGGTATAATGACAATAACAAAGACAATGGAAGGTGATAATAACGGCATTTAAAGAATATAAAGAAGACACAAATTTAACGTGGTTCGGTCAAGGTGACCAACGTCCACAAGCGGAGAGGAACAATTTCACTATACCAACAAGAGCACAAAAGAGAGTACAAAATTAGAGTAAATACTCTAATTAATCCCAAATACCCCAAGAGAATAACCTCACAAGATCACTCCAAAGAAAGGGTTCACACAAGTGTTTCCCAACACTCACTCTCTTACAAAATACTCTATAATGAAATAAAGGAGGAGAAAGAAAGACAAGAGTGAAAAGCTCTTGAATTGGTGTGTTTGCAAATGAGGAGAAACTCCTCTATTTATAGCAAGAAATCCTTGGCCTAATAATGGATATTATGTCATGGCAAATGTCATTATCCACAAATTTGTTATAATGGATATTATGTCATGGTAAATATCATAAAAATTTGGCCATATTACAAATCTCCACCTTGGCCTAATTTCGGCTTATAGTAAATTT